TGGACCCACCCATGGGATGTTTCAGGGCTGTGACAATATGATGCCTGGCAGCACCGTTATGATTCCATTAAGAACAGTTGCAAAACCTCTGCCATTTGCGTTGCAGCTGCTCCAGCAAGCTGTGTCTTGATGACACCTGGGGAAGGGTTCAGAAGCACATGCATCTGAGACCAATGATGGATGCCTGGAAGCCATCCGCGCCCAGCCCGTGTGGACTTTGGCCTGTTCCGATCTCAGCTAACCAGGTCAGTTTTCGTGTGCCATCCCTGAACCCTTAGTAGTATGGGGATAATGGAAAAATTGGAAACTACTATATTATATTAGGGTAATAATTTAGGGTTTAGGGTTTATTATTGGGGTTATATAGGGATAATGGAAAAGAAGCTGTAAACTACTATATGGTAGTTTCCCAAAATCAGGGGACCCCAATATAGACCCTAAAATACTATAATCCTTATTATTGGGACCCCAAAATGGTACCCCTAATTTTGGGAAACCCCCATATCAATTTGGGGCATATGACCCTAAAAGAATGCGTCGACATTGAAGAAAGGAAGCCATGCCTGACCTTGACAGCCCATGAGGCCTACTTCAAGGAGCGGGACGATGATGCAGACACAACTGAATACACCGAAGCCTGGCCCAGAACAAGTGAGTGGCGTTTTGTTTGGGGACACGATCACCAAATATAGAGTAAGATTTATCCTCCTTTGCGACGTAGTATTTTACATCAAGATAATCTTACTGGGTACAACTACAAAAAACACTACTCAAGTCAAGTGATTGAACCCGCCCACCTACCTCATTACACAGAGTGAACTGTTGAACATGGATCTGTCTGTTTTCCTCGCTGATGTACTTCAGGTGGACCCCCCCACCCCGGATCCTGCAATCGTGGTATACTATGAACATAATATGATCACCATTTTCCGCTTAAGTCTTACTTCACAAGGCCACGCAGAAAAGCAGCGCTGGCAGCAGTTGTGGAGACGATGATTGGAACAGCCACTTCACTTAACAAGTCTGTGAGAGGCGGTGCCAATGTCTGCAGGAACGCCGTAGAGATTCATGAATTCCTAGAAGAGTTCCTGGAATCAAAGAATCCATTCTGATACTTCATGGCTTCATCCCCAGATAGCTACCCCTAAAAAGGCGCAGGGGGAGCGTTTGCTTATGTTGTGGTTCTGCATCTCACAAGTGAACGTTTTTGCCGGATCCAAGACCACGTTCGTTCCAACCTGGCTGGCGAGATCATTCCAGGCACGCGTTTTGCCTTAGCGTCGGGATGTGCAGCACAGGCAAAGCAAATTCGAGCCTCTTGACATAGCATGGCAGCTAGCAAGTACAACGCAAAGTCATAGTTGATGTATACAAGGCTTCGTGCTGTCACCCGTGCTACCGCTACACTACGTCCTGTAATCGTGCTTGCTACCCCTGTGGCGGGCCGTTGTGCAGGTGAGCGCTTTGGAGCAAGCGCAGCTGCCTCAGCATGCAGGTTGAAATTTAGCAGGGCCCCGAGAGGGATTCTGAAAAAGAACAAGGATAATGTTGGTGTTATATAGGGAGAAAGGAAAAGGAAATGGAAACTACGAGGATGGGGGGTTATATAGGGTATAGGGTTTTGATAGCCTTGGGTAAGAAGGGGGGTGGCTCTCTGTTTGGACTGGCGCTTGTCGTGTGTTGGCCTCTGCAGCCCCTTGACGCAGGATGCGGATAGTGTCAGTGGCCTTGTGGAGACTCAGGCTGCAATAAGGTGCAAGGTGCTCCTTTAGAGGTATAGTCCCCCTTAAGTAGATAGAATATGGTTTGGGTATATTATAATAAAATCCCCACATACCCCATATTCTATCTACTTGAGGGGGACTATAGGTGGTTGAAAGGCCATGACATGAAGGCGGAGAACGTTTTCTTGGGTTTAGGGTTTCAGGGTTTCTTTTTACGGATGTGGGCATGAATGCTGACGTTTGGTGCTTTTCGCTACAATGATTTCACAGTTTTCACTTTCCATTTTCTTGTCCATGTGATGCCCCTATACGGGTTTAGGGTTTAGGATACAAAGCAGCACCCCTAAACCCGCTGAGCGTATATGTCGAGCTTGGAAGTGCTCTGGTCCTTGTTGAGTTTAGGGTTTAGGGTTTAGCCCAAAGTTGGGGACATTAGGGGTTAAGCCCCCTATAGAGGAGAATCAATTGGAAAAGATGGAAATGACATGGAAACTGCACGTATTATGGAGGTTTATGCGGTGGACACTACCTGTACTTGTATCTTGAGCTTGCGGCCCGGGATCTGTTGTTGGAGTTTCCCAAAATTAGGAACTACCGTCTTGAGCAGCCAGTGCCCTAACCCTAAACCTTAACACCCTAAACCCTAAACCCGGTGATTTAGAGCCCGTAGTGGTCCCTTCTCGTGAGAAGCGGCTGCTTGCGTGAGGCGAGCTAACATCGTACAATGAACCCAAGCCACCATTCCAAACGCGGTATTCGTGTGTACTTTAGGCTAAACTCCTTAAAGAGGGTTACAAAGGGGCTTTATAGGGGAGAATTATAGGGGTTACTACGGGGGAGACTAGGAGTTTAGACTGTAGCGCATGTCACCTCAAGACTCAAGGATCTTGATCCGGAAGTCGGCCGCCAACGCGGACAAGAGACGCTTGGCGTAGACTTCTTAACTGCAAGCCGGCACATTCCCGAAGCGATCAGCACTTGGACCTCATAGAATTGTCATCAGAATTGGCAGCTTTGGATGCAGGATCAGATCTCCTGACAACAAGCTTGTGTCTGCAACAGGCTTCTGGCAATGCTACACGATGGACCCCTATCCAAAGGAACGAACGCTTGCCACAGGGGCGATCCAGGAGTGCCTGCACAGGGTAATTTAACATGCACGTAAAGCATGTGTGTGTAGAAATTTGTGCATTTGTGCATGTGTAGGCGCATCCTGCGTGCATGAACCAACGTGACCCAACATCGCGCACACATTTATCTACATTTATATCTATCTATCTATCTATCTACATATACTACATATTTATATGGATAAGTAAATAAGTCAACATATAGAGAGAGATAGTTTTCACATACTAGTACATATATATATATATACATATACGTGTATAACGCGGTCATGCGTGAGAAGCTGAGCACCCAGTACATACATAATTACTACATACATACGTACAGACACATACATACATGCAAGCGTGCATGCATGCCCCAGAAGCGCAGGACACTTGTGCAAGAGTGTGCGTTTCGTATGAGTACCTCTTGTGAAGGCTTTACAGGAACAGGTGAACATTTGAATTTATGTCCGTATCTTGTGAATGAACAGCTGCTTACAAACAGTTGGTAATCGAATTACCGCATGTCTTTAGCATGCTCAACGCTAAGTCCCATTGATTAGCGTCCCTGGGGTTATGCCCACGAAGCCTTCAGCGTTGCCCGTGGGACATGATTGCTACAAGCCCATTCCAAGTCACTCTGCATAAGATCTCTGTGGAACCCTGAAAATCTCTTCAGCAACTGCCTTGAACTAGCAAAGAAGCAACTCCAATACCAATTTCGGGAACTTGGGAGGTGTGAGTATCGGCCATTCGCATCAGCTAGGGTCCCATGTAAACTGCCTAAAATAGTGAGTGAGAGAGGCTCGTTTTGAAAGCACAGGGGTCCCTCTAATGTACACCCAAAATACTACTTACAATCCCTATTGTAAGCTCCGAATTTCTGAGACCACCCCTGGGACCTGACAGGAGGACCAATCTCTGGCCCTGGCAGCTACGGTCCCTCTGAGCAGCTCCTGTCTACAGCCATGCTTGGTCAACAGCTCCTGCCTTGGATTTTGTGCAATGATCTCTATTGACCTGTTCACGTATGTAATTAGCACACATGCATTTACAAGCGCAGCCGCATGGTTTGCCAGTACATACAGTGCATACGTATCTAACATGACATCTCTTTCTCTACCTATCTACCTACCTGCCAATCCATCTACCTGCCAACTCATGTACCTATCCGAGGTCCAGGCAGTCTTTCTCCCGGCCGTGGGTGCCCTTAGGCACTGTTGCTGCCCAAGGCGCATCGGATGTTCATGGTGTTGCATTTGCGCTTTCTCTGCCGCCTGTCTTGCTGACTGTGCTGTCAGGTATCCGTCCCTCTCAAGTGACCAACTGGGCACTGTGAGGGATCACGGCATTTTTCGAGCGAGAATACCTGACGTCGCCAAATTATTGATTCTGAGCGGTGCACCGTAAAGGTCAGCGCAATCACTTTGAATTGTCTGCTTCTTCGTCACAATGCATCTGCTTCACGGCATGCTGTCACGTTTGTTGCAGTCTTAAGTTAGATCCAGAATGGCTGATCTGTGTGTCCGCCCATTCACCCCCCGCCGGCTCCGTATGCGGGCCCTGGTCTCCAGCCTTTCACACTTACGGAAACACCAGCCATGGTTGGACTAGACCTCGGGGCTTGCTGCTCGGATGGCGGGGGCCTTCATAGTTAAGGCGCAGCTCCGTAAGCTCATTTCGTATAGTTGCCACAGCCTTCTGAACGACCACACTATATTACTATATGTTTCTGGTTCATGACGTCTGAGGAGTCGTTTCACGTGGGCGCGAACAGTCGCGCGCACTTCTGTCTGCACCGGCAGATCCTGCGTGCCAGGTGCTGACAGCTCATGAGGACCCGCATTCGTTGTCGGACAGCTGTGGTCAGGTGTGCAGGGTGCTGGGCATATAGCTGAAGCGCCAGTCGCGCATTGAACCCTTAGCCAAGACCGCCACTGGCCTGCCCAGCACGTAATCGCACGTCAGTCTGACCACCTGACAGTGACAGCAATGCTGCAAATTTCGCCAGCCAGGAAACCAAAAGTGATAAACTTGCCTGTTAGCTGCACGCCTCTCTGCATGAAGAGGGAGATGCTTATGGAAAAGAACCTGCCAGGCCCGGGCCAAGGGAGCTGTTTGGCTCAGCTCAGTGTAGGACTGGAGTGCCCAACCATCCTGCGCGATGCCGCAGCATCACCCAACGCCCGGCGAGCTACAGCCGACGCCTGACCATGAGCTTCTGACCGCGCACACCACTTACAAGAAGGCGGCCGAATGCTTTGGAAAGCTTTTGCCCAAGTTGATCCAAGTTGGTAGCCAGCGCAGGTGCAGCAACATGGGCTGAACTTGCGTAGATTAGGTCTGATGTAGATATGTAGTGCGCAGGCCCCACACAGCAGATGATGCTATAGATTGGGGGCCAGTGCTTTGTCTGCAGGCGCCAAAGTGGTCCTTCCCTGGGAGATTGTCGGGAGAGAGGCCATCGGGCACAGAGTCGGAAGCCCAGCCCGTTTCAGTCCTTTGAGCCTCGCCAAGGGTCTGAACAACAGGCAGGCAGTGCATCCAGAGTGGCGGCCAGCAAAAGCTATAAAGCGAAATTTGAGAGGCAAAAGCAAAAGCGGGTATGGGTCCTGCAGCTGAAGCAAGATCACTTCCTCTGCTCAGGGTCGGTCACTACTCCGGTGATGACAAACATCGCAACTCTTCCGCAACAAAGAGGTACGCGCTGGGTTCCTGCATGATACTAGCCGCGGTTTTTGGAAAGGCTGTTTCTGCTGGCATGCGTAGTGTGAGATAGCGCCAGCGGAGACTGATAAAATGTGGCGCAGCGTCCAGCTTCCTTGATGCCTGACATGATGCCTGACATCATGATACCATTCCTACTGTAGCAAGCATCAAAGGCGCACAAAAAATTGGGATACCTTCGTGTGGCAGCCGTGCGGCAGATGAAACCCAGCTGAGGTGATATCAATGGACGCTACAAACGCTGCTGGAATGCACAAAGCTGCCTCACATTGAGCTCTGTAGTGTTGTCATCAGCAACAGCTCCCCTCCTAACATGCTAAGCGACAACCTGAAGTCAAGGATCCCAAAAGGGTCCGCTGCCAAAAGATTCCCGCAAAGTCGAAGTTAGTCAGGCCCATTACGCACATGTAAGTTTCATGACTGTATGAATTCAACGCGTCCGAGCTAGCTCGCACATCTTCGTCGTCGTCACTGCTGAGTACAGTCCCCGCAGCCTAAACTCAGAAGATGATCGCTCAAAGGGGCCGTGATAGGATAGCACCTGTGAGTCCGCTTATGGTCCATTGAGTGTGCAGGAGTTGCAGCACTCTCCAGACGAACGATTACGGAAAAAAAAGAAGAATAAGAACAAACTGACAGCACTGTATAGCAATTCGCAGTTGTCACACGCGCTCTTGCTTAATCCACCTTTCCAAACTTTGTCTGATCCCAGTCGGCCTGAGCAAGCTACAATAAAGGATATTAAATACACCCGTGGTGGCTAATATAATGATATACTGGGAAAATTGATGATGTTGGGGTGCACGGCATGGTTTTCAATAGTGCGGGGATATGATAATTTCCCAAAATAATGGAACCCCAATATGGACCCCAAAATATTATAGTCCTTATTATGGGGAGACACAAAAAGGGTACCCCTAATCTAGGGAAACCCCCATATGATTCTTCTCAAAGCCGCTCATTCTGTACGGCTCGCATGCCAAGGCGACCCTTCATGGAGCATGCGGTCTCCAAAGGATTTCAGGAGCTCCTCCCTCCCACCAGGCTCTGCAGGGCGTTAGCCTATTATTATTATTATTACTATTACTATTAGAATTACGATTATTACTATAACTTATTAGTATTATTACTGTTACTATTATTATTCCTATTACTATTACGTGGCTGGCAAGACTCTGATTGCGCAGCAGAGCAGAGTGTTGCTGGACCAATGCGTCACTCCAGACTTCAGATTGTTTAGGGTTTAGGGTTCAGGGAGCATAGGCGATCACAGGCAGCAGCGTTGTCTTGAGCTGCGTGCTGCAAGGGCAGCACTCATAGTGCCAGGTGAAAGCAGTCATGGGCATGGTAGTTTTAGCAAATACGGGCACCCCCATATAGACACCCAAATACTACAGTCCTTTTTTTTGGACCCCCCAACATGGAATGGCACAGCCAAAGTTTGGGAAACCTTAAACCACTACATATACCAGTTTCCGTCTGAGTGTCCGTCATTAGGGCTATATACCCTATATGACCCCGATCCAACACTACAGCCTAAACTACTCTGCCCGGATCCTGCCTACGGCCATGCACGTGGCAACCTAAACCCTAAACCCTGAACCACCTTTTTTCTCTCGTTAGGTGTACATATCCCCAGGTCCCCCGGTATAACCTCAGTGCACCCTCGTATAATATAAGCTATAGTCTAGACTCCTTAAAGGAGGTTATATAGATTATATAGGGGACCTGCTATAGGGTTATTCAGGGAGATACCAGGAGTTAAATAGCTCATATAGTCATTTCCGTCTTCTTTTCCATTATCCCTAAACATCAGCAACAGTCCTTTCCTGCTGCTTGACACGTGCCGATTTGGCAGGCCCTGGACGGTACAACTCCCGTGATGGTGCGTTGCAGCCCGAGATTCTCTTCTTCTGCACCAGGTCTTGAAACAGGAATGGGTATGGCACCCCCCCCAATAATGGGTTTATACAGGGGTTATGTTGGGATAACGGAAAAGAAAATGGAAGCTACTATTTAGGGTTTAGGGTTTAGGACCCCATCAGAAGAGTCGCAAATCGACATCGTAAAGGTTGTGGAAGCCCTCCTGAGGAAGCTGCTCCAAATTGCCCTCTACATCCGAAATCTCCCATCTATACAAACAGGTCCCTCAGACCTGCTTTTTTCTTTCTAAGCAAACCCTAGACTCTAATCCCAAAACCTCTTCACGTCTCTCTCGCCCAATTGAGAGAACCACCTCTTTTTGTGAGATCCCATCACAATACTGGCTTCTCTAACGGGCGGACGCCGCTTCCTTGATCCCTAATTTATGGGACCCGCATACCCCAAACCCTATCTAACCTGGAAAAATCACGGTTTCCAGTTCATTTTCATTTGATTTTCCATTTGATCCTCCATTATACCCCTATGTAACCCTAGATCACTAAGATAACCCTAACCCTAAACCCTAAATCCCGAAACCCTAATCCCCAAATCCCTAAATTGTAGAACCCCGATATACCCTTGAGTAGCTGCTATGGAAGAGCCGTGAAGGCTGCGCTCTACTGCACCGTCCTGGGGTTTTGGCTCTTGCTCCAAGGAGGCCAGACTGTTGTATTAGGGTTTAGGTTGGGTACTGCCCCCCCCTCAGTAACAGTTGGATGATAACTATAATATGGTTATATATAGCCCTTAATAGGACCCCTAATATAGACTGTTACTGGGTGGGGGCAGTACACAAAGTTTAGGGATTAGGGTTAAGGGTCGGGAATGAGTTTTTTTGGGGGAGGATGTATAGCTAGGCGTAGATTTGAAATGGTTTTGAATTTGGATTCCCCACAACCCCTAAATTCCTACAAAGCCATGAAACACGCATTTGATAGGGCCCCAAACCTAGCCTGGTAATCTTCAGAATAATGGAGAAGCGAAAGGAAAAGACAATGAACAACTGGAATTATGGTTTATAAGGATTTGGGTTTCCGTTGGTTGGGGTTTCTTTTTTGGGGTCCCCGTACTTACTACAGATAGATCTTGAGGCCTAGATGAGAGCCCTCTATTCATGGGAACTGACATCTCCAATTTGCTGAGGCTTGAGGTTTGGGATGTGGTAGTTTCCCAAAACGTCTTCCAATCCTTTAATAGGGACTCCCAAAACAGGTACCCCAATCGTGGGAAACGCCCATATGTGTTTTGGCGTTTGGGATTTTTCGGGTTTGAAGCCACTGATAGGCCTTTCGAAGACTTAGCACATTCCACCAGCTTGTCAGAAGTAGTGGTCTGTTGCCGCGCGCTAGGTGTCTTTCCCATCTAGGTTTGCTGATAATATGTTACACACTTGTTGAGTTCCTAGCAGGGTGCCAGTTCATAGAGTAATTTGCCTCGCTTTGGGAACGGCCATTTGGTCAAATGCCCTTCAAAATGAGGAGCTGTTGCCTCGGGACCAGAACGATAAATTGCTGCGCTGGAGGATGATAGGATGTGATGCCAGAAACTGCATCTGTCATGCAATCGGAGGCGTGGGAGGCCTAAGATTTGCTTCGGAGTTAGCTCTGAGGAATCACTGACTGATGTAGAGGGCCCGCCGGGATGGTGTTTGTACCGCAGCTGTCCCCTCAAGATAGCATGGAGAGAGATGGGGTGACGGCAGCCATGGGTGAGTGGCTACAGAGCTGGTGAGGCGCAGGCTCCAAGTTGAGTGAACTTGTCGTTTGGAACTTAGGAGCTGAATTGGTGCAGTTGGATGGAGATGTGAGGCCCAGGCGTCCGCCTTGTATGCAACCTATCCATTTCCGCCGTCAGCCAGGGCCCCAAGATGCTTTCGCCACAGACTCCTTCCCCATCTTGACATGCAGGCATGATAGCCATGTAGGCCATATTATTCTTCTCTAGCAACCGGTATAATTCCTTCAATGTGTCAACAAGTTCAGCCTGCTGAGAGATGTTATTCTTAGATGGCCCAAGGAATTCTAGGAAGACCTCCAAGGACGAGGACTCCGTGCCAGCTGATGAGGAAATGAGTCTTGCGATAGTAGAAGGAGTGCAGGGACGTGTTACCTGAGCGCATCAGAAGCATTTAGGAAGCGGAATATGGTACTTTCCCAAAAAAGGGGGACAGTTATATCGACCCCAATATACCGTAGTCCTTATTATGGGAACCCCTTTAAAAAGGGACCCCTAATTTTGGGATTGAGGAATTCCCATAATTATAGGGCTTGTGCCGATGTCCGAAGATGGGCCCTCCTGCTTGAGCATTTCCTCGCAGGAGCACAGGACTGATTCAACTTCTGCAGAGGATGCAGCACGAGTCATACAAAGTTGCTGGAGAAAGACCGCAGGCAACTGCGGCCTTGACCAACTCGCTGTTTAGGGTTTAGGCTTTGTAGAAGAAGGTACAGGAACCAAGTGGAAAAAACACAGAAAACAGGGTGGAAGCTGGTGTTTAGAGGGATATCCAGCTAGGGCTTAGGTTTCCTTACTGGCTGTTAGTAGGTAATGAAGGGAAGCAAACAACGAATGGAACATAACATTGAAATTATAGTGCTATTGGGAATTTTGTAGTTGCGGGGCTACTGTAGAGACCCATTCCAAACCCTCTCCTTTCTCAAAAGCAGCCAACAAGTCATGTGCATTGTAGAGACTAAGGTCGTTCTCCAGGTAGTGCGGAATCCGGGCTTTCCAAAAACAGGAGTCCGCCTTCCCCAAGATATTCTACATAGTGCTTAAGTCATAAACTCCCAACAGGAGACCTTGATCTTTTGAGCCTCCAATCCGTCGAAATCCCCACACCCTAAAGCCCAAACCCTAAACCCCTATAACCCCTATAACCCCTATAACCCTTAAACCCTGAAACCTTTGATTTTTGGAAGGAAAGATTGTTATAGCTTTGCTCGCAGGTAGCAGCAAGAAGCAGGATGGCCAGAGTCCGAGATCATCTCGGGACCCGGACAGGCAGGTTTAGGTTTTAGGGTTTTAGGGTTTGGGGTTTATAAGGTTTGCGGTTTGGGGTTTAGGGTTTGGGGTTTAGGGGTTTAGGGTTCACATGCGCAGATTAGGTTAGGGGTTTTTCCTCTCCGCCGACATTATACATTGTGTCGACCCCCCACCCAGTAATAGTGACTGCAAGGGATAGTGGTGATTTTTGGAGGGTCCTCCTATATTCCTATCATACCACGGTTACAGGGTGGGAGGGCCCTGAACCCTAAACCCTGATACATCTTTCCCCCAAGGACCCGGCTTCACGCCAGCCTCAAAGCCATTTCAGATTCAAATGGACATCTTGGGGTTTGCCAAGCCTAGGGGCATCTTTGGGGGTCCCTAAGGTTTATAGTATTGTTGGGTCTGTCTTGGGGTCCTAATATCATGGGAAACTACCGCATCTCTGAATCTCAGCTTAAACCAACTGACTATGATACTCCTGGATCTTGACCCCGAATTTCTGTCAATTCTTTTTTTGCAACTGACATTTGAATTTGTCTTTCGCACAGGTCCCTTTTCAAAAAGAAATTGCGGGCTTGCTACCATGTGGCAGGGATCAGTTCGCTACCGCGCACGTATCTGGATTCCTCCTGAGTCGAGTCTCTCTACTTTGGAGCCTGTTTTTTAACCAAGGCCTCAAGCCGCATTGCCATTGGATATCCCTAAACCCTTAACCCTAAACCCAATGCACAGGCATGCATCTGTGGATAGTGAATTGCCTTGCCGACGTCTCTGCAGGCCATTCTACACGCATATTTTGGGCCCGAGCCTGAGAGATCTGATCTACACGCTGGAGAGCTTAGCGAAATTTAGGGTTTAGGGTTAGGGTTAGAGTTTTGGGTCAAAGGAGCGGCCAACCCCCGCCCTCTTTTGGGATCGCGACGCTCTATTTGGGCGGGACACCTGCCGTCTCAACAATTTTCACCCATTGCTTACTTCACAGGCAGCAGCAGCCTTCATCATCCAAGTACATTGCAATCTAAGTCCCAAACACTAACACTAAACCCTGAACGGTAAACAAACCCTGAATCTCAGGTCTTACTTATGTTTCACGGACGCAAAAGAGGATGGAAGAGGAGGGTCAGACTACGGCGGAGTGCCATGGATGCAGCCAGAGTTGGTAATCCCCTTCCCATTGGGTTTAGGGTTTTGGGCTTTTTTCTCAAGATTTGGTAGCTTCTGTGAATAAGGGGACCCCAATACAGACACCAAGATGCTGTACTCCTTGTCATAGGGTTCCCCAATAAGGTATCTCCAATTTTGGGAAACCCATATATTAACTCCCTTATAGTACTAAATAATCACTAACCCCCAGCCAGTTAACAGTTTCAATAATATGAGGGTGTGAAATATTAGTGGGAGATGATGAGTGCTGCTTCTTGTGCTTAACTGGGAATGGCAGATAGCCATAGAAGCCCCTATACCGTTCCCTCAGATTTTTTTCCTGCCAGGGTTCATTTCACCCATGCCGCCATTCTTAGTAGGGCTTAGGGTATAGTGAAACACCCTGGCTGATTGAAGACCCCCCCATTAACTTAATCGCTGACGCGGGACCGCCTGGGCAAGTGTGATCGAGGCAAGAGAGCAAGGTAGCAGCATTCGCGGTGACAGCGCTGTCTCAGCCGTTTTCACCAAACAAGTTCAGTCATCTGCATTTCAGGTCCTTCACCCTTCTGGACCATTCTGGACCCCACCCCCCCCACTCGGACCCCCCGAACTGCTCCGTTTTGCGGGGAGCCTGCACCACCCCGTGCGGAACCCAGCCAACCAGCAGAACCCTCCCTGTTTTTTCTCGGAAAAAGAAGAAAAGCTGATCCCGAATCGCGACCGCTGGGAGGGGGTTAGGGGGAGGGTCTCATGGTCCGGGCGCCCCGGGCTACAAGCACTGCCCCTGGGTGAAAAGGTCTGCGGGAAGGGGACGTATTGGCATAAACTCCAGACACTGCACAGTGTATACAGTATACAGGCTATCGTGCCTCAGGAATGTGCGTCCTTTGCTGGGTGCTTGCGAAATGGCCAGTAGTTTCTGGGAGCTATGTGTAAAAGAGGCCCTGAGCTCCAAGAAAGAGCGAGTGCCCCAAGGTAGGTGTCATGTTCCAGGTTGCATTACGTGGTGTTTACGATATTCTTGCTGAAATGGATATTGTAGTCTCCAAAATAAGGGAACCCAACACAAACCCCATTGCATCATAATCCGTATTATGCGGATCCCCTACAGGCAATCCTATTTGGGGAAACCCCCTAAACCCTAAAACCTCATCCTAAAACCCCAAACCCTTACATAGCCCTATATAACCCCATTATCTTCCTCTAAAAAGGTAACCCTGATTTTTGGAAACCCTGAGCCGCTATATATGACCAATTTCCATGTCATTTTCATATATTTTCATTTTCTTTTCCTTTGATTCTCCATTATTGGGCCCATTGGGGTTAGATCTCCCCATATATCCCCATATATGCCTAAGCCCTGAATCCCCTTTTTTTGGGAAGCCCCAAAAACAAAACCCTTAGCCCATATGACCATTTATCACTGAGGAAGATCTTCGTCACACTTAGCGATCCGGCCAGCTCTCCCGCTGCCCAGATCGTGTGGCATGGTTGGGTTTTTGAACTGTTGCTTAGTTGTTT